GTAACCTGCTTTGTTCCTAATCTTCTTTCGCGATCGGAGAAGATTCAAGGGTTTTTCGCTACCACGTTGAGAAACACCAATCTGAAGCTGAAGTTCGGAAATTTATTGGAATCTAGAGCTGGGTTCTTCGATTCTCAGGTTCCTAGTCTGGGATTTGAATCTAAGGGTTTTACTGGGTTTCAAAAGCGTGGATGGTATTTGTTTCTTCTCCTCCTATTGTTTTGTTGTTACTGGGTTTTGTGCTTTACTTATTTGTGTTGAGTTAATGGGTTTTCTCTACGTTTTTCTGAGAGAAACTTGTCTTTGAGGATTGAAAATCCGTGAAGATTTCTGGCTTGATTTAGGGTTTATACAGAGTTTATGTGGTTAATGTTAATCTACCTTTGTTTAGCTTTTTTATTTTCTGGTCAAAGTGTGCTTTTTCTCTTCCAAGACAAAGACTTGTGAGTACTCAGAAAAGGAGTAATGTTCCTTTTTTCCATTTCTGTGTAGTTCTTGATTTAAGCAGCTTAAAAGCTCTTTTGGTGGTGTTTCTCTTTATAGCTAGACACTGAGCAGGCCTTCTAGTTAAAAAAATGTTCTCCAGATAAAGAAATAATGTTCTCCAGACAAAGACATAACATTATAAATCTTGATTTCTTCACCTACTCCGTTTTTGATTCTGGTTTTCGGATGCTAAACATTGCAAGAAGAAAAAACACTTGAAGACAGTAACACTTGAGCTTTAATCTGTTCCATGTAGTTCCTTTATTGGGTTTACTTGTGTTTTCCTCTGGCAGGAAGTTTTGGATTAATGGAGCTAATGGTGTAGTGTTTGGGTTGATAATAGCTAATGCTGCTGTATTTACAATGTGGGAGGTTTCAGATAAACGATGGATGACAAAGAATTTTGTGGTCAGACCTCAAAGTTCAAAACTTTTTTTTTTTAATCTCATTTACTGCTAAACTCTTGCCTTGGAGTTGATCTTTGGTATTTAACCATGATATTTGGGCAGCTATCGTTGTACAGTTTTACGACTGGACGTATACACACCCTGATAACTTCGGGTTTCAGTAATCTTGGAATCAGCCAGATCATCGTGAACATGATTGGACTCTACTACTTTGGAACCAGGGTATGACTCTTTCTGTTTTGTTTAAATGTTCTAGAGAAGAATGTTTCTAGGAGTGAACATATATTCGATTTTCGTAAATGAGATGAGACCTATATTCATTTGTTTCCTATGAACTTGATTGAAGACGCACATTTAAGAATGAGTTGGTTCTTATTTCAAATAGTAATTACCTACTCATCTTTCACTAAAGCTATTTGTTTCTCTACATTTCTTAAACCCATTGTTGGTTAGATCGCAAATACCTTGGGGCCGCGCTACCTGTTGAAGCTCTACTTTGCTGGAGCACTTGGTAGCTCTGTTGTCTTCTTGAGTCAACATGCTCTAATGACTACAACATTCAAGGTATAGATGGAGCAACCAACATAGTTTCCTTAATCTCACACGCTAGTTCCACGGATAAGGAGTTTTCTCCATTGATCTTTTTTCCAGTTCATCTCATACACGTAAATGTGCTACATGGAGTTGTAGTATTTTGACGAAATGCTTTACCTTTTATATTGGATAGTCAATCGTACAGAGCAATGACAAAACAACGAAAGGAAAAACAAATCCAATCATACGGGGCCGTGGAGTTGCCACTAAGGATCAATCAAAACTCCTTACTGTGAACCTGGTATGTTTTATAAATCATCCCTGCCGATGACTTTTGTCAAAGCATGTAACAGACTGAAATCTTTAGGAGAGAGATAGATGCACAGGCTCGTCTTGTTTTGGAAATGCTGATGAGGTAAACTCTTTTCCAATTTGTGTATAGGGTGCTGAAGGATCTGTGTTTGCCATCGCGCTACTCGATATCTTTCTCTACCCAAAAGTTACAACATACTTTGCGTTGATGCTCCGAGTGCCTGTAATGTGGGTAAGGACTCTCTAGTTACTCGTCATAATGGGTGAAACTCTTATGAATCAGCTAGTTACTCTCACTCTTTTATCTTCAGGGAGTCATAATCCTAGGAAACGACATGTTAAAAGTGCTAGAGGTGTGTTTTCTTCTAAGATAGTAAATCCACATTTGATTGTAAACAATGTGACTATCTCTTAAACCGGACCAACTTTTTTGGGGAATTGCAGGGGAAAAAGAACAATATCTACTCGAATCTGTTGGGAGGAGCTGTGGTTGCAGCCATGGCGTGGGCACGGATAAGGAAAGGTCGATTTCACTACTGATTTGGTCTCCATCAATAGACCTGATCTTCTTACTGGTCTATGTTAAGCTTTGGGACAATGAGATTATTATTACCATTTTTGTTTTCGTTTGGGATGAGTTGTGAGAGAGAATATTTGACTGTTGTAAATTGAATCCGAGAGATCAATTGATGGGTTTGGTTACAAATGATAACTAGTAGTATTTTTTTTTAATTTCTTTGTCGAAATTGCAACTTTTATTTTGAACAATGTAAGATTATCTTTAGGTTTTGACATTGATTCCAAGTCCCATCACGAAGATTTTGTTTTCTTTTGACGTCATTCAAAAAGATTATGTAATGTAGTACAAAAACGAAATGATACAAAATCCTTATCTTTTTACATCACCAATCAAATATTAGATTTTTAGTCCATTAAACAATTATTTAATATACCATAAAATTATTTATTATCATATTTAGAGTGAAAATTATTTACTTTCTAAAACAAAGTATAATACACTATAAAATCTTATTTCCTTTTTAACAAATTAAAATATTTAGTGCTGTTCTTAAAACAAAAGGAAAAGTCCATTAGAGCGCACTAATTACTCACTGGACAAATGAAATAAACAAACAAAAATTACTCATCGGATATAACAGAAAAAAGTAGGGAAGAAGCTCCGATTTGTCACAAATCAGTAACATTTTTCATTTATTTCGTTTCAACTTAATTTAATTTCAGTAAATTTTGTAGTTTTCCTTTATCGGGGGAGCCATTGTTAGAAGAAAAATAACCTAAGCAAAAAAAACATCTTTATCCTCTGCATCGCCATAAGCATTAAAGAATAATTTTGGATTTGGGGTTTCTCTCATCTTCACTTTTTTTTTTTAATCTCTTTATCAAAACCCTTCAAAATTTTCCCGCACTTTCTCGATCTGAAGGAAGGATTTTGCTTTCTTTTCCCAGGAAAAATGAGGTGGGAGAGGGTCCGACAACAAAATCAACAAGTGGGTCTCGGTGATTCTTCTTCTTCCGGGCCCGGAAAGAGATGGGGACACACTTGTAACGCCATTAAAGGAGGCAGATTTCTCTACGTATTCGGTGGTTTTGGTAGAGACGATTGCTTAACCAATCGAGTTCATGTCTTCGACGCTGGTGAGTTCTTCGGATAAATCACATCTCGATGGAAAATGTCTCGTAGTGGGTTTCGTAAAAGTCGCAATCTTTGTTTGATCTGTGCAGCGATTATGTCTACATCTCGATGGAAAATGTCGGCCTTTTTTTTTTCAATGGGTTGTTCCTGTGCGTCGATTCTCGTAGTGGGTTTCATAAAAGTCGCAATCTTTTGTTTGATTTGTATACTCTTTAGGGTATATTTGTTTTCTTTTTGTTCGTTCGTGTGGTAGACCCCATTTCCTCCACTAATTTTTTTTGTTTGTTTTTGTTTTCATTTGTTGGGATGCTGTTGTTTTGATGTTTTGTGGTTACTTGCTTATAGTCCTGTTTTCTAAATTTTCATTGTTGGAACATTCTCATTTGTGGCAGTTTTATTGCAGAGACGCAGATATGGACTCAGCCAGTAATCAGTGGTGTACCGCCTCGCCCGAGGGACAGTCACACGTGCACAACAGTTGGGGATAATCTTTTTGTGTTTGGTGGTACTGATGGGACCAGTTATCTTAAGGATCTGCACGTTCTAGATACTTGTAAGCTCTTACATTTCTTGTTATGTTTGTCTGGTTAGATCAAGAAAATGCTTGTGTTATCTGTTCCGGGTGTGTGTGAGGTTTATGAGTTTGAATTCGATTCTTTTTCGCTTTGTTTCTTATTTTTTGTCATATAGCTTCACATACTTGGATATGCCCGGATGTTAGAGGTGAAGGACCCGAGGCAAGAGAGGCTCACAGTGCAACGCTTGTTGACAAACGTATTTTTATATTTGGCGGCTGTGGGAAATCTTCTGGTTCAGATGATGAAGTATTCTACAATGACCTTTATATACTTAACACAGGTACAGCTTCAAGCTGCCTTTTTCAGTTTCCTTGGTAATCCTCTTTAAGTATGTATACGTCATTATAGAATACTTCATCATTGAACCGGCTTTAAATCTTGTTTAGAGACTTTTGTGTGGAAACGAGCTGTAACAACTGGGAATCCACCCTCTGCACGAGATAGCCACACTTGCTCAACATGGAAGAACAAAATCGTTGTTGTAGGTGGTGAAGATTTGGATGACTATTATCTCTCCGATGTTCATATCCTTGATACAGGTGCAAAAGCATTGTTAAGCACATCTTTATATAAAGGATTTATGCTTTTCTCTTCTGAAATCTTTTATAATGTTTTTCTCAGATACATTTGTATGGAAGGAGATGAATACTTCAGGGCAGTTATTGACACCTCGAGCTGGTCATGTTACTGTTTTACTTGAGAGGAACTTATTTGTATTTGGAGGGTTTACTGATTCTCAGAATCTTTATGATGATCTCTATGTCCTTGATTTGGGTATGTAACCGAGACCTCCAATAATGGCAAGCTTTCATTTGCTTTATCTGTCTTCTGATATCTAAATAACTATTATTGTCGGTTTCTCTCTATAGAAACGGGTGTATGGTCCAAGGTTGTTGCCATGGAAGAAGGGCCATCTGCTAGATTCTCTGCTTCGGCGGTTTCTTTAGATCCTTATAAGGCTGGTTTGTTCTTCTTTTTGGGTGGCTGCAATAAGAATCTTGAGCCGTTGGATGACATTTACTACTTACACACGGGTTTGTTACAACCTTTAGCTAATGTTTTGTATTTTGATTATAGCAAATATGCTTTTGTATTTGATTACCCTCCTTATCTACTTTGGTTATGGCTAATAGAAGGTGGATACGATGCACGGTTTGATCAAAATCTTGGGAGTTTGTCTATAAGGAAACAAATGAAGTTAAAATGCCACGGGCAGAAATTAGCTGTGGCCAGACCCAATATTGATCAAGGTGTGTTAACACAGAATTCTTACATTAATCAAGAACTGGGATTTAAACAAACAAAAAAGCATTTTTTGTAAATATGATTACACTCACTTGCTGTATATTGTTCTATTGAAGGAAGAGAGAATCTCCCTTTGAACATTGGCTCGATTGATCAAGGAAAAACAGTTTTTCAAGCAAGGGTTACCGAAAACGTTCCTCTAGGTTACACTATAGAAACGGTCATTGATGGAAAGGTGTTGCGCGGTGTTCTGTTTTCGAACAGACACATCTCTGTTCAAACGGCAGATTCAAGCTTAAGTAGTGGGCAAGTGATAGTTATTATTCTCTTTTTTCTTTCTGAGGTTATAGTTTTTCTTTCGGCGCATTTGTTCTAAAGCATGATTGATTGTTAGTAGGAAACGGCCTGCTTTGTCGGATGGCGACTTTGATAATATACCAAAGAAACCAAGAACATTGAACACGGATGCAGCAGGTAGTAGCCAACAAGCTGATCCTATGGATCCGTCTAATGATGCTAATAAGAAGGTTGCAGATTCAAACGATGTGGACACACCCATGATTGACGCTGCTGATGCTAATAGAAATATGACGGGACCACAGGAGGCAGAAACCGCTGCTGTTAACTCTGACGTCAAAGATCAAGATTCTTCTCAGCTCAATACGGTATGAAATATGATCTACAACAATTTCAGCTATTTTGGAATGATGCTGTTTCTTATCAAAAGTTATACTGAAAACTCTGTAGGGCATTGTGAACAACACAGAACCATCGGCGGTTACTCTTAATCAGGCGAATGTGGAGACATTTAGAAACGAGATAGCAACAGACGTTGGAGCTACTACTGCTAAAGCTGATTCACAGCCACAAAACCAAGGTGATTCTTGAACATACATGATTCAACAGATCTTTCTCAACGATTGGGTAATAAGTCTAACTTATTCCTTGGATTGAACAGGGGAGGGTACCGTTGCTGCACAAGATGCAAACGCAGAGCAACAATCGCGTTAACGACATGAAATACCTTTTTGGAGGGTGTACAGTAGTATCTGGAGATAGGATTTGGTTTAAAAGCTGAAGTAGAAGAAAAATTAAGGATGAGTAGAAGAAGAAACTAACTCTTGAGTTTTAAGGTCTTTTATTTGTGTTTTGTATTTTTGAAGCTCTGCAACATAAACAGCGTTTCCTCTGATTATCTCTTTTTGGTTTCAATTTGCAACATAAACACGCACACAAATAGAGTAATGGTTAATTCTGAAGAAACTTTAAAGGTGAAGATACTTTAGCTTACCAAAACTCTTAACATTCTTAATAAACGAGTCTTTGTTACTTCAGGAATATGTTTTGCCTTATAATGGAGCAATGATTACGACAATTTACTGAATAATTTTTTTAAAAATCTTTCTTTTCTCTCTCTCTCGCATTGTTTACTTATAAAGATTAAGGGTGTAATTGGTAAGTATTAGAGTAATTGAAAGTAAATAAAAATAAAGAAATTGGGAGGAAAATAATTAGAGTAAACGACAGTAAAAGAGAATAAAAGAAAAGAAAATGTGATTGGTAGTAGATTAGAGTAAATGAGAGTAAATGAATAATAATAAAAATCTAATATTTATTAACTTATAAACAATATAACAAAATGCATATTACATTAAACTATAATATATAAAATAATGTTAAGCATATTACAATACATATATAAATGAAAACTATTTTCACAATAAATATATATATATTAAAATTATAGTAGATTTAATGACGACGTCGAGGTCTACGTTGATTTGCAGCCCATATTTGTTCAGCAATCTGATCACAAACTATTTGCATATACAACCAAGAAAAAAACACTTATTACGTTTGTATGTTTGAAACTGGGAAAGAGATGGAAGGAGAGTTGGAAATCATGTGTTTATTTCCGTGTAGTGGAGTGATAAAACAATAAAATGGGGATGTATTTATAAAACAAAAAGTAATATAAAAAATAAAAGGAAATTCAGTGCAAGATTACACTTAGATAAGAGAGAGGTAAGATTCTCGTCAACTTGAACGATAAGGAGAGAAA